TTTGAGACAAGAACTATAAAAAATTAAAAATATAATTAGTTTTGATAGGGAAAAATATGGTATTCAAAGAGTTAATTTTGATCATTTCCTTCAAAAAATGTTGATAATAAAATTCTGAATCTATTTGTGCCTTTTATGGAACTGAAAATAACCCTTTTCACCATGGTTATTCTGATCAGAGAAAAAAAATTGAATTAGGCAATATTCATACACAGTAACAATAATGGCTGTTTATATTGTAGTAAAATATGATTTATTACAAGTGCATATGACAACCTTTAGGGCAGATATCGATCTCTCTTCTACTTGTACTCTCCGACATTAACCTTTAGTAATCTCTGACATTGCATGGTAGTTACAATGGTACCATTACAATGCAGAAAAAATATATCACAGTAAATCATTCAAAATTTGTTGTGTAAAGATGCTCTTAATACAAGTCATTCATATGTTTTATGCAGAAAAGAAGGATGCAAGAAAACACATGCAAAATAATTCAAAAAGCAGCCATTTTGAAACATATTTCATCAATAACTTAAAGTGCCTGTGCAATGCCCACCCTCACGTTTCCCATTTTAGATCTGTGTCCCACTGAAATGGGCAGTTATTGATTTTTTTGCTGAAAATGATTACTCGTATCCAAGTAAATTTGGGATATTTCTCGGGTTGTAGCCACGCCCATCTATCCTGAAACGGTCGACTGTTTCCGGAAATCCGACTCTCGCCGAAAGTGCGCCACCAAAGGCCAAAATGTGGGAGGAAGTCATACCCCTGAGCCGTAATAACACTGGTCATTCAGTATATTTTTAAACGATATACATTTTTCGATCGGTGTTTTTTTTCCCTTTTTTTTTGAGAGAGAGAGAGTTTTTAGATGTTGTGTTACGGGCAGTTGCAGTGAAACGTATAGTCATAGTGTAAGTATTCACACGTTTCTAATCGATCCGAAAGTGCAACATCAGTGGACGAAAGCCACTTAACCTCAGCTTAATTTTTTTTTGAAAAACTGTCCTCGTCCATACAAAAAAACAAACTAGGTTTAAAGAGAAACGCCAACAACATAAACCTGGCGCAACACTTTTGAAAGAAATAGATTCCGGACCATGATCA